TGTGCAGGGATTAGGGTCTCATGAACTTGGTTCTAAATTAGGCTGTTAAACATATTTGAAGTGTGGGTTTTTTTGTGCCTGGAGGAACTGGAGGCAGGGTGTTTATGGATATGGCTTTACTTGTCACTAGAATGTTTCATTTCCATAGGGTTCCCGAGGGTCCAGAATTTATTAGAGTTTAAACAGAATTTCTAAGTAGAGGCTTTAGGTTTAGGGACAGGTTCTGGGGAGAGGAAACTGATGAGAGCTAGGCAGATTGTGAGAAGTTCAGCCAGGAGGAATAGCGTTCAAATCCATGTTTAAGGCTCAGTGGGGAAACAGAATATTAACCCAGGACCTGGGACAGAAACTCAGGATCTTGGTCTAGGCCAGGGGTCCACAAATTTTTTCTGTAAAGGACCAGACAGTAAATACTTTAGACTTTGTGGGCTATAATGTCTCTGTTGTGACTACTCAACTCTGCTGTTGTGGTATAAAAGTGAAAAGGGTTCCTAGACCCAATTCCAAAGTATATGTGGAGGCTCCAACAAGCAATACTCAGACAGTAGCAGGGTGTCCAAGAAGTCAACTCAAATCTGCCACTATCTATCTGGAAATAGCATCAAATTCCCCAGATGCCCATCACAAGCTCAGGTTCTTACCTTATTTCTGATTTACTGGCTACACATTTGGTGTTCCAATGACCCTTTCAACTTAAGATGCAAATTTTAAGTCCAGATTGTTACCTGTTCTTGTGACTGAATGGCTATAAATCAGAGGTTCCTACAACCCACTCCTTGGGTTCAATTAATTTGCTAGAAGGCTCACAGAACTCAAGAAAATACATTTACTCAGTAGTTTGCTGATTTATTCCAAAGGACATTCAAGGATACAAATCAACAGCCAGTTGAAGAGATACATAGGGTGAGGCCCCGAACAAAGGAGTTTCTGACTTTGTATAGCTTGGGGCACAGTAGAGTGGCACCTGGAATAGCTCTAGCTCCCCAATGTGGAAGCTCTCCAAAAGGGGGTGATGAGCTGCCCTTTTGGGTTTTTATTACATAATCATGATTGACTAAGTCATTGGCTAACTTCAAGCCTCTCTCCCCTCCTGGGATTTCAGGGGGTGGGGCTAAAAATTCCAGTCCTCTGACCACATGGTTGGTTCCTATTGCAACTAGCCTCCACCCTTGGGTAGGGTCCAATTGTCACCTCATTAACATACAGGAGATACCTGTTTTGTTTGCTTTCTTGACTTAGGAAATTCCAAAGATTTTAGGGGCTGTGAGCCAGGAATGGGTGGGGTGAATACCAAATAAATATTTTTTATTATAAATTACAATATCACAGGAAGCAGCTGGATAATCCTAAGGCTTTGTGTGTCGGTGTAGGAAAGAGCATCTTAAACTTTCTTGAAGTCTAATGCAGGGAAGTCTAATGCAAGTACAGCTTAACCAGTGGATAATTATGAAGTGAACTCACTCATGTTATCAGTGACAGGTCAAGAAGTAGAAAATATTAGAACTCATTAGTGTTCCACCCTCCTCCCCAGAGGTAACCACTATTGTAACTTCTGACACCTAGATTAATTTGCTTTTCTTTGAAGTTTATGTAAATGGAATCACACTAGATGCAACTTTTTGCATCTGGGTTCTTTGGCTAAAATTTGAGAACTCATTTCTTCATTGCCGTGTAGAATTTTTCTGTAAAATATACCATTATTTATCCATTTTATCTTTGATGGATATTTGAATTTTTTCCACTTTCAGGGTGTTACAAATAATACCTCTATGAATTTTCTTGTTCTTCACATCTTTTGGTGTTCCTTAGTAAATACCACCTACCAGTTTTTCAAAGTGACTGTACTCATTTCCATTGTACTAGTAATGTTAGGAGAGCTCCAGTTTTATACCACCATCTACAAGTTTGAGACCCCTATGGTAGAGGGATTACCTGGGTATATTGTTCTTAATAAAGCTATGCTGAGAATATAGCATGACTTCCTACCTTCGGAAGCATTAGAAGACTTGTTAACCCTTCTTTCAGCTAGTTATTAGGTATCGCTTGTCAATTGTTGTGTCAACCCTCAGAAGTTTGGTTCAAGCCTGCTTCTACTGAAGTCATTAATTTCTTTCCAAAAATTAATAAATGGGTATCCCTAGCTGGTTTGGCTCTGTGGATAGAGCATCAGCCTGTGTACTGAAGGGTCCCAGGTTTTGATTCCGGTCAAGGGCATATGCCCAGGTTGGGGGCTTGATTTCCCAGTAGGGGGCGTGCAGGAGGCAGCCAATCAATGATTCTCTCTCATCATTGATGTTTCTATCTCTCTCTCCCTTTCCCCTCCTCTCTGAAATCAATAAAAATATATTAAAAAATATAAAAATCAATTAAAAATGGGTAAATGTGCATGTGAATATACCAATATGTATCCAGAGATAAAATAGCTATTAGTCTATTTTTTTCCTAGTCTAAAAATTATACTCATAAGTAAATGATTCTAGAAGAAAAGGACCATTAAAGATTTTAGACTGAAATATTAGAGATTAGACTGACTACCTAGGGATCAGACAGAATCACTGTCAGAGATGTTGAGGGAAGAGGAATAAGGAAATGTAATTATGTGCCCAGTCTTTTATGTGTTGTTAAATTTAGTCCTCATGCAAATGCTCTAAAGTGAAGGGGGCAGGTGGGTGTGCTGACTATATTTTAGAGAGGAGGAAACTAAAGAACCAAACAAGATAAATGTCTGTTGTGAACAATGCTGTTACAAACATTCCCATACGTGTCCTTTTTTGAGGATCTGTTTGCAGTTCTTTTGCAAACCTAGGAGTAAAATTGCAGGGTAATATAATTGTGTTTAATTTTTTGAGAAAGCGCCACACTCCCACAGCAGCTGAACCATTTTACATCCCTACTAGCAATGTTCACGGGTTCCAGTTTTTCTACATCCTCATCTATACTTGCTATTTTCTATGATTTTTTTGGGGGGGTGTTTTGAATAGTATTGTTGGCAGTATAGTTGTCTGTATGTTTTTTACTTTGTTTTCTGTGTGTTGCTGGTAGACAGAAATACATTTTTTTTCTGTGTAAACCTTGAATCTAGTGACCTAAATTCACTTGATAATTCTAATAGTTTGTGTATATTTATTGGATTTTCTTTATACAACTGAATTTCTGATTTCCAAGTGCTGTCTTATTTCTTGTTCCGTTTTCATAGTGGTTTGTTATTTTGAGTGGCTTGTGAGTGGCTTAGAGGATATTTATTAGAATTTAAACTCTCTTTAAAATTTTCATTACCTTAGTTTCCTTTGTGGTTGATTCTATTGCTTTTCATTTTGGTCCATCTTATTTTGTAAGTACTTCATAGATAACTGGTGATATTTGGTTATCTGCTCATATTTACAAAGGTTGGTTTTGGTAGCTGACTTTGGCTTCTTCTCAGTGTTTTGAGTCTGTTTTTCCAAAAGAACTTTTCTCCAAATGGAATTACTGATTGAGAGCTCTGCATGAGTTTGTTTTAAGGGCTAGTAGCAGCCAGTTAGACTGGGGACCTAAAACTTATTCTGGGGCTCCAGTGCTATGAAGACTTTTTCTTTTGGTTGTATTTGTTTCCTTTTCTGATCCCCCACCTTCCATTTGTGGATGTTTGAAACAACCTGAAGCTCAGCCCTACTTCTCTTTTATCCTTAGCACCCCCATTCTGGATCCTCTTCTCCGCAGATCTGGATACTAAGCCTGAGGAACCAAAGTTTATACAGGAAGTAAGACTGTCATGAGTGGTTTTGCTGTTTTGTTAGCAACTTTTAATACATTGATTTCCTTTAATTCAACTTCTTTTCCTTAGTTTGGTGTTTTGCGTTTAGGGGGTTGGGACAGCTCTTGCTTCCTTCTAGTCCTTGCGTATGCTTGTTTTGGTCAGTTTGTTATTTCTTCTGCTACAGCTTTAGCCAATTAGTCTCATGTTTCTTTTAGAAATTCTTCCCTATTTTTTTTTCCCTTTCCTTCCCTTGTATTCCATTCTTTTCCCTGGCCCTTCCCCTTCCTTTCCATTTCCTCCCTTCCTTCCTTCCTTCCTGCTTGTTGATGGGTCTATTTCTTATTTTCAGATTATCATGAATTTTCTTACAGTTAGGAAAAGTTTGGACATAAAACACATGTATCTACCCCACAGCTTAAATAAAAAATAAGTACAATTGAAGCTCCCTATTCTTTTCTCTGATTGTATTATACTCCCTCTCATGCATCTATTAATATTGTGTGTATTTCTAAACAATAAAGAGCATTGTTTTGAATGTGTTTGAGCTTTGCATAGTGACATACTGCATGAATCCTTCTGCATCTCGTGTTGTTGTTTTTTTTCCATTTTCATGGTTCTTTTCTTTGTTCATTCTCTTAGCATACTATCTTTTCTGCTGTTTCAGTAGAATTTGGATAAAGATGATAAGTCAGCTCATATGTTTCTAGTATGGCTTTTTTAAAAGGGAGATTGAAGCACCTTTTGGATATATTGTCACTATAGAGATGTAGGAAAAAAGACTTGGTGTTACCTCTTCTTGTTTCAACTGGTGATGATAGGTGAATATGACACCTGGCGATGTTATACAAGCTGGGCAATTGAGTCTTGCTGCTGACCTCTATTTGGTGTTATAAATCCTTTTGGAGACAGAGAGACACCATTCATTCGTGTTTGGGTTTAACTGAGGTTTAAATGAAGATTTGAGTTCTTATTGCTGGAAGAACTTTTTATAAGCCATCTAGTACAAATTGTACTAAAGAAACCCAGGCCCAGAGGAGTAACTTGTCTGAGGTGATCCAGGGGAAAACACAGGGATTAGAAGCCATAGTTGTGGTTCCTTATTTTCCACCTTACTGCAATGAACCAGAGGTTAAAGTCTCCTTTTGTTAACATTCAACTTTGATTTTTGCCTGTCCTTTAAAATATTTATTTGAATACCAAGAGATTTTAGTACATAAGAATGAACATAAATCTTTGAATTGATGCTTACTTGTGTTTTCCTTAGGATCAGAATGGTTTCAATCCCAGAATACTATGAAGGCAAGAATGTTCTCCTCACTGGAGCTACCGGTTTCCTAGGAAAGGTACTTCTGGAGAAGTTGCTGAGGTCTTGTCCAAAGGTGAATTTAGTATATGTTTTGGTGAGGCAGAAAGCTGGACAGACACCCCAAGAGCGAGTAGAAGAAGTCATCAGTGGCAAGGTAAGTGGAAAATAATCATTTGGAGGAGAGGAAAAAGTATGGTGTTTGTGTGTATGTTTCTTCAGTATCCTGAAAAAAATTAATAAAGATTACCCTAAGAATGGCAGCAAACTGGGTATGACTTGTGATCAGTAGAAGAAAAAAGCTTTTCTCTGTGATGGGCAAAATTACATAACAAGTTCTAAATTACTCTTATGGTAGATATTTAATGTGTTTTTAGAAAATTTGAGTCAGATTATTTGTGATTACTAGCTATTTTAAGTAGACTTCAGAATATAATCATAATTAAGAGGTCATTTCTAATGATCTCCTATGCTGTGAGACACTGTGCTTTGATAACTTAAAAATTTGTAAGCACTGGTTGCTACCTACAACAGTATTAAAGGGTAGCAAAGTCACATACTTCTATTTGACAAATAAGAACATGATGACAGAAGGGTCAAATAGAATACAAGAATATGTCACACATTTTGAAACTTTAGAAAAATACAGGGATGGGCAAAGGTAGGTTTACAGTTGTGAGTATGCGAAACGTGAATTTATTCCTGTATTATTATTTATTAATGATGGTATTTTTTATGCAAATAACTATAACCCTACTTTTGCCTACCCTTGTATTGCTAAGAAAAAATCAAAATGAGCTGGAGTAAAATTATTTCACAGTCATAAGCTTTTGAATTCTCTAAAAATGAATGAATTTATCTGACATTCATTCATAGTAAGTTTAGTGTAATTATCTATGTCTCAGCGGTTCTCAACCTGTGGGTCGCGACCCCTTTGGGAGTCGAACGACCCTTTCACAGGGGTCGCCTAAGACCATTGGAAAACACATGTATAATTACGTATTGTTTTTGTGATTAATCACTATGCTTTAATTATGTTCAATTTGTAACAATGAAAATACATCCTGCATATCAGATATTTACATTACGATTTATAACAGTAGCAAAATTACAGTTATGAAGTAGCAACGAAAATTATTTTATGGTTGGGGGTCACCACAACATGAGTATTAAAGGATCGCGGCATTAGGAAGGTTGAGAACCACTGATCTATGTAATTTTTTAATTATTGGGTAGGTATATGATATCTTTTAACCTCAGTGACTTATGGTTCAAAAACAAAACCAGAAACCTCTAAATCACTCTGAGTTAAAGATTGCTGAAAAGTGTCAAAAGATATAATGATTAATTATAAATTTACCACTCTCTAGGGTTAATCAATAAATAATTTATTAGACATGATTTATTTTCCAGTGTGTTTTCATCTTTTACTAGAAATCCATAAAGTGTTAGTTAATAGTTTGTTGAATACTTACTGTATGCCAGGAACTGTGTGCAAAGCACGTCATATGTATTTAATTATCACAATAACTCTTTAAGGTAAGTCTAGTGTTATTCCTATTTATAAGGTCATATAGTTAGGGAGTGTTTGAGCCAATATCTAATTCTGGCAGTCGACCTAGAGCTTATGCTCAGATCAGATGTTGCTAGGTCCCATTTTACAAATATAGACAGTGTGTCTCAGAGGTTATAATTTTATCTGAGGTTATGGAGCTGATGGTGGAGATAACACAGATGACTTGATAACAAGTCCCTATTATTTTCCCATTTTATAACATTACTTCACCAATAGATAAGAAAGTAAGGGAAAGGTGATGGGAGAGCTTTGTGGTACAGTGGGAGAAATAGTCTTTAGAGTTGCATAGCTTGCTAGTTGCAAGAGTTGTAGCTGGTACACTGAGTGAAAGTAGCTTAATTTCCCAAAGCTAATGGCAATTCGTGCCCAAGTTGACAAAAATTAGAAGAGAAGATGACAAAGAGCAGAAAAGAAGAGTATGAAGGGCAGAGAATAACAGAGGTAACACACAGCAGGAAGAAGAGTCAGGTTGTGGGTTAGGGCAGTAATGGGAAGCATATCTCCTGCGAGTGATAAAGTGTGATAACAGAAGAACAATTATGAGAAAAAAAGAGAAAAAAATACTCAATGAGACCTGTATAGAAGTTCAGGGGTATTAAAATATAACTTCTTAATTGTCTTAACATCACAGCATTATAATAAAATACAGTAACCAATATTAACATGGTGACTTAGGATGAAATAAAAGACGGAATTATATTTAAAATGTTTTCTTTACTGAAATATTTATTGTTTGGGAATGATTTCCATTTAAATATAATTTTGGTTCAGAAAGATGAACTTCACTTATGTGTGGAACATCCATGTTTTCCTTGTTTATATTTTTCCCCCTTATAAAGAGATGTTCTTATACCCACACGGTTTTACCAGTGAGGTATAAATTAATAGTTTTTCCTTTTTTTAAAATATATTTTATTGATTTTTTACAGAGAGGAAGGGAGAGAGATAGATAGTCAGAAACATCGATGGGAGAGAAACATCGATCAGCTGCCTCCTGCACACCTCCCACTGGGGATGTGCCCGCAACCCAGGTACATGCCCTTGACCAGAATCGAACCTGGGACCTTTCAGTCCGCAGGCCGACGCTCTATCCACTGAGCCAAACCGGTTTCGGCAGTTTTTCCTTTTAAAATAATTTATTTGATACTATTAATAGAGAGTTAAAGAATAAAAGTAATACTTACTTTTGTCTCCACTTTTCACTTTATTAATTCAGTTTTTCCCCACATGAACACTTTAAGTAATTCTTACTTCTACTGGAAAAACTAATTTTCTCTGAATTACTGTTTGTTTTTAAAATATATTTTATTGATTTTTTACAGAGAGGAAGGGGGAGGGATAGAGAGTTAGAAACATCATTGAGAGAGAAACATTGATCAGCTGCCTCCTGCACACCCCCTACTGGGGATGTTCCCGCAACCAAGGTACATGCCCTTGACCGGAATTGAACCTGGGACCCTTGAGTCCTCAGGCCGATGCTCTATCCACTGAGCCAAACCAGTCAGGGCTGAATTACTGTTTTTAAAATAGATCTATTCTTTTGAGAGTTTACTCGTTGATAGTATAACTCATATAGCTAGTTATACTTTTGTAACGTTCTTCCCATTGCCCCAAATTCTTAAGCACTTGTGTTCTTCCCTCCTACCACAAAGATACATGGAATCCTGCTGTACAGTAGGAGTTCTTCAGGTTAACAGAGATATATCAGCAAAGTCCCAGCATTTGGGGAATTTACATTCTAGTTAGGGAGACAAGCTAATAAATACACACCATGTTGAATAGTGATACATGCTGTGCAGAAAAGTAAAGCAGATAAAGGAGATTGAAAGTGATGGAGGTGCTATTTTAGATCCAATGGTTAGAAAAGTTCTCTGAGGTGATATCTGAGCAGAGACTTGAATGAAGTGAGGAAGAATCCCTGTGGGAATGTAGAGGAAGAGTGTTCCAGGCAGAGGAAATGGCAAGGACAAAGGCTCTCAGATGGGAACTGCTGGATAGGTGGAAAGAGCATCAGGACAAGCTGTGATTTCTATTACACTGGGAGCTATATAAAACATGTGAAGTAAATATTAAGTGCTAGGGTATTCTCTACCAACATTCCTCTCTCCCGTTGAGCTTTCTGCCTCCTAAAATATAATAGCATTGTTAGTTAATTATTATTTTAAATTTTTGTTTCTTTGACTTGAGAAAGAGGATTTCAGACAAATAAATATTTATATTTAAACATGAGAAAAGTGTAGCTGGTATAAACTCAAAGAATTACCACATGAGGTTTCTAGGAACTTATTTTTAAAAGTAAAATGGGAGTTAATATTTCAATATTTACCAACATAAACAAAATAACTGTGATTGAAGAATTTGCTATCTTAAAGTATGGGAGGTACAAAGTTCATTTCAGTTTTTCCCCCAAGAAGGGAGATGGACTGAGTTCTAACTCTTGAGAAAATTATTTGGATTGATACATTGACTGCAGTGTAATGCAGATTGATATCATTACCTTGTGGCTATACTTTTCCATATCTGCCAAATAGGTTGAAAGACTGTTTATTAAAGGCAGTGTGACTCTCAAACTTTAGGTTTCTGGATCCCCATTCCCTCTTAAAAATTATTGGGTACTTAAAAGAGGTTTCATTTTGTGAGGCTTTGCTTCATTATCTTACTGATATTTATCATAGTAGAAATTAAAACAAACTTTAAAGAATACGCATTCCATTAGCCATCAGAGTGATGATGTCATCATACATGTAGCTTTTGGAAAATTCCTCTACACTTGTGAGAGAATGAAAGTGAAAAATGCAAATAATGTCTGAGTGATAGTATGAAATAATTTTGACCTTGTGCACTACCTAAAATAGTCCTGGGCACTCCTAGGATCCTTAGACCACATTTGAAAACTGCTGCTGAATAAGAGTGTACAGTGTCGCTTAGATCACTTGGGAACAGCCTGCTGATACCTTCTTATAGATATACCTGATAGGGGCAAATGTTCATACTTTAAGGAAAGAGTTGACTTTTACAGACATCTAAAATTAATTTGAATCTAAGCTTGGAGGAAAGAGTCAGAGAATGAAGTTGGGATTAGGTTAGTATGAGCTCAAATTTGGTGCACGTAAGGAGTCTGACTCTGTAGGCATATCCCCAAAAGGAATTTCGATTATAGTATTTATTCTTATTCATTTTTTTTTCAGAAAACATTTATTGTGTTTATTTAGTGCTAGATATTTGATTTGATGCAGGGGCTTGTATCCAGGAATAAATAAGATAGAGTCCCTGCCTTAATGGAGCCTACAGTCCAGAGAGTTTTTAAGAGGGAAGAGGAAAGGAAGAGAGTGTAGAGGTTGGGTTAGTTAGTTGGTTCTCCTGTGCAGTGTCATAGCACTGTAATATTACCCCTATTTTATTACTTATAATACTACTAGAGGCCCGATGCATGAAAATTCGTGCAAGAGTAAGCCTTCTGTCCCCCAACTGCCAGCACCGGCTTCCCCCTCCGGCTACCTGCAGGCATCCGGGACCTGGGCTGGCTTCCCTCTGGCCCTGACTTCATCAGGAAGGACATCCAGAATGATGCCTGGTCTAATCACCATATTACCCTTTTATTATTATTATAGATATTTTAATTGTTCATTCACTTGTAAATTAAAGTCTGGATTTGAGAAATCTGAATAATCATTTCAAACGTTGTCCTGATATTTGCACTGCTTAAGTCTATTCTGAGTGATAATATAACCTAATCAACAGAGGCATGGGCGGTTAAAATTTAACTGTGCAAACTACCAGCTCTGTATCTTGGGCAAGTTACTTAACCTCCTGATTCCTCAGATTCCTTATCTATGAAATGGGGATAATAATTTGCGCCTCATAGGATGTTTTTTTATACAGAATGATAACAGTTAAGAAAAGCAGCGTTAGGATTTGTATAGTTGAAGCTTTAAAAATAGTGATCATTAGTGGAAAGAGGGAGATGATCATGTGTTTTAGAAAGTTGAAAAGTGCTGCCCTAAACTAATTTTTTTCCCCTTTGATAGCTCTTTGACAGATTGAGAGATGAAAATCCAGATTTTAAGGAAAAAATTGTAGCAATCAACAGTGAACTTACCCAACCTAAACTGGCTCTTAGTGAAGAAGATAAAGAGATCATCATAGATTCTACCAATATTATATTTCACTGTGCAGCTACAGTAAGGTTTAATGAAAATTTAAGGTAAGTAAAGGTATTTCTCTGATATTTGAACTTAAGCATGGTTAAAAGATCTAATTTGAATTCTACTTTTCAGTCAAATTGTTTTGAAAATGATTTGAAACTGTCGCTTGTAGCTTTCAGTGTCCTACATAGTGAAAAAATAATTTCCTTTTCTTGTTATCAGTTTAAAAACATTGGACAGCTAGTGTATATTTATTAGAAGTTGCCATGCATCTTAATATAGGACAGGGGAAAGGCAAGACATAGGAGTTATAATTGGATAGTGTAATTACAAAAGAAAAAATGTTTACCTTGGGTAGGAGTGTTAGTTTTAACAACTAATAGTGTTTGTTTCCTCTTACCTCCATTCTTTCAGAAGCCTAAACCTCAGCAGCTTTATTTTTCTATACACATATATTCATCTGAAAATTTAAAGCAATTAGGCTCATGTTTGTAGAATAAGATAAATCAGCTTATAAATTTAAGTCATGCCTTTTTTTTTAGTTTTAAAACCTTGTTAGCAGTGTTGGGGACAAGGTACATTGAACATAATTTTAATTTAAAAAATAACTTGGGTTTACTTAGATGCCTGTTTCAATTAAAAAATTCTAAATGTTCACTAATTTTTATAAAAATTAACATATTAATTTCAAACAGTGCTGTTTAATTCAAAGCATTCTTTTTGATGGTATGTTCAAAAATATAGTTTTAATGTTAATATTAATCTAATTGTATGGTCTTATGCCAGTTAAATTGGTGCAGACTTCTGTAGGTTTCACAATTACTTGAAGGCCTTTTTCTTAAAATGTTTTTAATTAAATTATGATTAATTAAATTGAGATTATTCCCCATATTGTCTTTAATATAGAAGTATAAACCTTAATTAACATTATATAATGTGACAGTTCAGTGCCAAAGCATTACATTGTGTTTTGCCTATATCACAGGTGAGGGCACTTTAAATAGTCCCTTATATTTCTGTAATAGTGCTTTATAGTTTTCAGGGTATTTTCTCATCTATTATTTTACTCCATGCTAACATTACCCACTGTAGTAGTATGGGCAAATCTACTTTATAGTTGAGGAAGCTGAGGCAGCATTGTATAATGGAAAGCTAATGAGCTTTGGAATTACTTACTTTAATTCTAATCTTGACTTTATTGTTTATTATCCAGTGATTATAATTTGTTATTTACTTTTTAGTTCTTTTTATGTAGCTGTTAAGTGTTCATGATTGAAAAGTGACAAAAGAATCTTATTAGAACTACTAGGGGCCCAATGCATGAATTCATGCACCTTGAAAGGATCTGTGGGCCACGAGTCTGGTGGGCTCAAGGGCAGGTCTTGGCCCATCCTCCGTGCCCCGGCCTGGCCCCTCCACCATGGCCCCTGGTCCTCTGTCTGCTGGCAGCCCCACTCCTGCTGCCGCCGCTCCCACTCACTAACGGCGCTGGCCCCTCTTGCACCCACTGATGGCACGAAGTGATTGGGGCTGGTGCCAGGTGCAGGTGTGAGCAGGGCAAGCACCGTCAGTGAGTGCGAGCAGTGGCTTCTGCGCCCATCGCCCCTCAGGAGCAGGGGGAGGTGGAGAAGCCCTCAGGGGCGATTGGGGCTGGCAGCTGCTGCTCGCACCCGCTGACAGCGCCGAGCCATTAGGACCAGCGCCAGGTGCCAACAGCAGATGCGAGTGGGGCCGGCGCCAGCAGTGGGTACAAGTGCTGGCTCTGGCACTGGCAGCGGGTCCGAGAGGTGGCTGCTGGCCCTGATTGCCCTTTAGGAGCAGGGGGAGGTGGAATAGCGGGGCGATTGGGGCTGGCAGCTGCTGCTCGCACCCGCTGACAGCGCCGAGCCATTAGGACCAGCGCCAGGTGCCAACAGCAGATGCGAGTGGGGCCGGCGCCAGCAGTGGGTACAAGTGCTGGCTCTGGCACTGGCAGCGGGTCCGAGAGGTGGCTGCTGGCCCTGATTGCCCCTTAGGAGCAGGGGGAGGTGGAATAGTCCTGAGGGGCGATTGGGGCTGGCAGCCGCCACTCGCACCTGTTGACAGTGCCGAGTGATCGGGGCTGTCGCTGGGCACCAGCAGTGGGTGTGAGCGGCAGCTTTGGCATCGGCAGCGGGTGCAAGTGGGGCTGGTGCCAACAGCAGGTGCGAGCACCTGGTGGGACCACAGCTTGCGAGAGCAAAGAATTTTCAGTAACCACCAGAGGCTCGCCCCAATGACAGTGACTGGTGCCGCGTCTTGGTCTGGAACCCCTGCTCACCTGCTCCACCATACCCCCTGGTGGTCAGCGCACATCATAGTGACTGGTTGTTCAGTTGTTCTGTTCAGTCTATTTGCATATTAGGGTTTTATATATATACTAGAGGCC